CTATTAGTAACAGTACAATAAAAATGGATAAGTTATTTTATATACTAGTTTTATAATAGTTTAGCATTACATTAATTTTTCAAATCTTACATCTGGAAATATAACCCCTCACTTATAATGCAAAAACATCTGACTATGAATAGATATGTATGCAGTAGGGGAAGGGATTGCTAATGGAATAAGGAACATTTCACCTTTAAATAACTGGATCACTGACACATATTAGTTTCAGGGTGGCACAATCTTCAGAAACTATGGATTTCAATTCAGAATTTGGTTTTATAATATTGAGTGTGATTGGTCACCAAAGTAAGATAGAGATGGACATTTTCTAGCTGTAGTTAGTGGCATAACCACTGTGAGGAAAAGAATTTAAAATAGCAATTTTTATGTGTTTTTTGAAGCAAGCTTATTTTGTATCCTCCCCGGCAACTTTTAATAAATGCATTATTACGTATCTTTGAGATTGTGTTCCACAGAGTATGAAAGCAGGACAGAAAACCAAAAGTATTTTGGAGCAGAAATAAAAATCAATAAAAAGATTGGTAGTGACATGGATTTTCTAAAGAGATTTGAAATAAGGCAAGACAGCAAATAAAAACTGATTATTGTTACCTGTCCTAAAGGCATGCATTCATTGATTAGCTGTAATAGAAACGTTTAGCATGAATCAGATTAAGTTTTAATTGACTGGATCAATGTGGAAAGGTCACAATCATGCAAAGAACAGCAGGCAAAGCCTTGTGATGTTTGTACCTGAGCAGAAACAACAGTAGCCTAGGGTACTATAATCTTGTTAACATGTGACAGAAATACTCTTGTTCCTTCCTGTCTAGAGGAAGATCTAGAGCAGGAGTTGGGACCTAAGTTGGTTTCTTGTACGGGGGATGTGAGTCCTAGTAATGGTATACTTTAAAAAATCACCATGGTCAAAAACACATCACTAAGGCCTTGTCTTTATTGCCACTGTACAGCGCTGCAACTTTCTCGCTCAGGGATGTGAAAAAACACCCCCCGAGTGCTGCAAGTTTCAGCGCTGTAAAGTGGCAGTGTAGACCATGCACCAGCGCTGGTAGCTGTATGAGGGTGACCAGATGTCCCGATTTTATAGAGACAGTCCTGATTTTGGGGTCTTTTTCTTATATAGGTTCCTATTACCCTCCACCCCCTGTCCCGATTTTTCACATTTGCTGTCTGGTCATCCTAAGCTGCGCTCCCCAGTGCTTGTAGCTACTCCCCTTGTGGGGGTGGATTTTTTACAGCGCTGGGAGAGCTCTCTCCCAGTGCTGGTTCCATGACCACGCAGCCACACTAAAGGACTGCTAGTGAAGACATACCGTAAGAGACAGCCTCCCAACCCGGGTAACCAGACTTATGGTAGCTCTACTCAAGCTAACAAACCAAATATAGTAGTGTGGATACTGCAGCATAGAGGGCAGCACAGACTAGCTACCCAAATCCAAGATCACCTGACCGCCTGAACCATCACCTGTGCTGGAATATCTACATGGCTAGCTCAAGTTAGCACAAGTCTGTCTGTCTGGGCTGGGAGGCATGCTCACAGTTCTAGTATAGATGTATCCTACCAGAATGTGGTTCCATCCAGGTGGATTGGGATATTATTCCCAGTTGGAACAGGTCAGTTTATACATAGAGGCTACAATTTTCAGATTAACATCCACAACTTCGAATTGCAACCTCCCAAATTATGTGTTAAGCCTTAATTGCCCTCATATTTGTTATTTTCACATGTTTCATGCTCAGTATGTCATATCAGTGAGTGTTAAAAGATGCCTCAAGCAACTTAGCTGTGCTCAGTTTTTGCCCAGGATCCTCAATTCCCGATCCCCAGCTGTTAGAACATGGGGTGAGGTTAATATACAGTGGCTGGTCATACTACCTGCATCCTGTACACCATCATTGGGTGGGAGCGGGGAGGTATCAAATCAGCAGTTGTAGTGCCCATGCCCAGTTGCATGCTAGACCACCAGCTGGTAGCTTAATTTTGGGATAGAAAGAAGGGACCAACAAGTCAGCTATACTGCAAATACTGAAAACCTTGTTCTTATTATGAAAATAAAATACTTGCCACTAGTCTCCAAATGGCTCCCATTGAATCATCTATCACTCTTCCTTCTCCCAAAACTTTTCAAAATTTAAAATATTTGATAAACCTTAAAAATTTGATTTCCCTCCACTTTAAACCCCTCCCATACATACAAGTATTTGCATCACATCACCTAATGATTTAGTCCATTTTAAACCTTGAAAGATAACAATTGTTAAAAGATGTAGTATTAAGTTTCGTACATATAAGTCTGATTATTAAATGCATGTTGATTGTGCTGAAAAATAAAGAAACAGGCTTTGTCCTACAAGTGGTGACATGGTAGGGCTTCTCCCACAGCACTCAAAAAACTGGAATAATAGAATAATTATTTATAATATCTCTAACATCTAGTGGTAAATGCACTTTAACTGTGTTCATCTGCTTGGTTATTTCATATACAAAGGAAAGCACAACCTTTTGTTTTATAAAACTATCAAAGGTGTTCTCCATGCTTTAGCGCAATATAAAAGTCACTCTACTGCAAACAAAGGCAAAGTGTGGAAATTCCATTTAGAGACCAGAATAAATTTCAGGTTGGGAGAAAGAGGTAGAGTAGAAGGGAGTGCAAGGGTCATAAGAAGAGTTTAGAACAGGGAGGGCTTGGTGAGTATCAGACAGGGATCTGCTGTAGTGTAATAATCATTCTCTTCCATAACTCAGACCATGACTAGGGAGACATGCTGAAGTGATGCCAGGCAGCACAGGGTGCATTTCATTTGTGGTGTGTGTGTGTGTGTGTGTGTGTGTGTGTGTGTGAGAGAGAGAGAGAGAGAGAGAGAGAGAGAGAGAGAGAGAGAGAGAGTATGCTACAGGTTCTGCTTGTGTCCAGTGACCTCAATAAATAATCCTCTTTATATTAATGACAATAACATTACTTCTTTAGCTTCAGAGATACTACATCTGGAAGCAAGCCATGGGGTTAGGAAGCTTTAGAAAGAGCCTGGTGAATGTTTGAAGGGATATTTGAAGAGGTATAGAGGGACATTGTGAAGACCAAGAGACTGTCAAGTCAAAGGGGGTTGATGGACAAAGAAGACTAGAGGAACAATTAGGCCTTGTCAACACCCCTGTGGTAAAATCATCCTAATTTACACTACTTATACTTTACATGAATAACGTAACTTAAGTCAACATAGCTTAGGTTGACTTAATGCAGTCTCTACACTGTTCAGTGTCGATGGGAGAGCACTCTGCCATTGACTTAGCGGGTCTTCACAAGACCTGCTAAATCGACACCGCTGCGTCGATCATAGCAGTGCTGGTTTACCGATAAGTGTAGACATGGACTTAGAAAGCTATGGAAGTAGGAAGAGTAGACCAAGGTCCATCAGAGATACATATTGATTAGAGTACCAACTTTGCAACAGAACCTAAAGAATTTTGTTCCACTATATAACCAGAGATAATGTATGTGAACACTTCTAATCAGATACTGTTCCTTAACTTTTTAAAATGTGTCCAAATTTCACAGTTTACATATAAAATCCAAAAAAATCCAATGTGTGCTGCTGGGCAGCTTAATAATTACTCAATATTTTTTATGATTGTTATGGCTGCATAACATGCATTTAACTATAATGTCATGAATATTTCATCTGAGAAATTGGAATGGTTAATATGCTTTTAAACACTGCAACAAGGTGAAATAGACATTCATTGAGAAATGCATAGTCCCTGAATCAAGTAGGTAAATTATTGATAGACTCATTCAGCTTATTGGAATATTGAATTATATGCAGATAGTTGTATCTTTTTACTTTTTTTTTTGTTTTTATTTACTCTATTTTTGTCTTCACAAATCTGTATGAAATATCAATCTTATAGTTTTGTTTTTCAAAATGGTTCAAAATCATACATATTTACAAAATTCTTCATGAAAAGAAACAAAAAATGTGTACATTAGGTGTTGGGAAGAAGTATAACGTTCAGAAAGAAAGGCAAAAATATTTGTTGGTAAACTGAAATTGTTCAGTCCCCAGCAATGTGCTTTAGGCTGGATTTTGATCTCAGCTCCACAAGATAGATAATTACTTATATTCTGATCCCCATGACCCTGATCCTGCAAAAGGGTCCATGCAATGGGATCCATTAGTAGGGTTCCATATGGTCTTAAGTCAGTGGAGTTCCACATGGGCACAGGGTCTGTCTACATTGATGTCATAGCAAGTTTTAAGCCATAGAACCTAATCCTACAATTGCATAGATGGATGACTGAGCACATGTCCGTTGTGGCTTCATGTAGGCACAAGCAGCCCACTTGGTTGATGTGAAATAAAAGGTCAAGAGAGCTTTAGACAGGTAAAGAAGTGGCGTGTTCTGAACTGGGGAGTCAGAATAAAGCACAAGGTAGGAATAAACATGTATGTAACTAAATAGCCCTATCTAAGATTAGGCTAAAAACACTGAACATAGTAAAAACAAAACTGCAAATGGGGTATTTTGCCCATAGCCAGATTGACACACATTTGCTTACCCAGTTACCTGGACCTCACACCACTAGTTCTTTTGAAATTTTCTTAATAATCTTTAATGAGGATCCATTTCCAGCTCTTTTGTATTAATGGAAATAGTATATAAATAGCAATTAATGTACTTCCTATGACTGGATTACTTGAAATTCACATTGTCTCCGCTCTTCGCTATCAAGAAAATGTAGAGATACTTTTAATACACCCATTACTTTAGAACAGAGAATCTTTCCTAATTCATGTAATTAATATCTAATTAATATCTGCTCATCCCTGCTACTAAGCAAATATTTCTTTCAGTTTAGCTCGTGGGGCCTTTCTAATAGACATCTGTAGAAACTATTGCCATATGATACTGCTATGATTAATTAGATGTTTTTACATCAAAGTTTAAAATTATTCTCATTATCTGTGTGTTTCAGGGAGGGTCAACAATCACCAGAACAGTGGCAGAAAATGTACGGCCGATGCTCTGGTAATGAAGTGTATCACATTAATCTGGAGGACAGTACGTTTTTTGCTGAATATGAGGGAAAGAGCTTTACATATGCTTCTTTCCATGCACATAAAAAGTATGTTTATTATTAGAGGATTATAAATTCAGATGAATCTTCATGTATGTTGAGTCCATAGAGTAAATATTGTACTGCATTGTTCTGTGTTGTCACTGCCACCTTATGTATTGCTTTTGCTTCTGGTTTTAAATAACTGCTGACCCTTGTAAACTGTATTGGACTTGTGTATTCTCCTGCCAGTTTTGAGTGTCAAAAGAAAACCCTTTTCGGTCTATATGTACCAGCCTAACCTTAAGGCAAAAGGAGATTAGTTCTATCTAGGCAGATATCAAGAATGGATATCACATTCAGGAGATCAACATCTTGATATGGAGTTATCAAAATTAAACATTCAATACATGCTTTGCCTAGCCGATACAATTTAAAGGCTTTTTTCCTGGATAGAATCTAAAGAATGCTTAAAATATCTTCTCTGTAGGAACTGGATCTTTCACATCTGTCAAAGGCTAAGTTTATATTTGATTAATCATGAGCAAAATTCACATGGCTACGATGTAGCTGTGGCAGTGCACAGAATGGCCTTCCATCTTGAATGGACCCTTGCAAATCTTCTTCCTTTGTCAAGAGGCAGTATGGGAGGATTTAAATTTCTTTAAATCCCTCAAAATTCCATCTTTCAACCTCAGTTGTGGTCAGCATGGTGCTCTACTCCTTTCAACCGCAGCTCGATAAGTCTTCTATAAATGTGTACATTTCTCTTCATGACCCCATCATTGCAGTCATCTTGTTCTCAACTGGTGCAAAGTTGCAACTTGCCAGGATCTTAAATATCTCCTCATTTGTGACAAAATCCAAGCAATGGATGTTAAGAATATGCCATAACTTTTCACACTGAAAAGTGTTTAGTATCCTCTCCTCAGTTGTTTTTAAATGCCATGTTTCTGCTTCATGTAACAGGGTTGTCATCACTACCACATTGAACACTCATATCTTAGTTGTCACGCAGACATCCCACCACTCAGAGTCCTTTGAAAATGCTGAAATGTCACTGACACAAGACCAAGCTGATGTGGAACTTCTTTGGTTGTTGAATCTCCTGCTGTAAACCAATTACCCAGATAGAACTATTCACTCATTCAGTGCCATTGCCATCTACATGCAGCATTGGCAGGTTAGTAGTTTGTTTTATAGGAGGCATGCATTGCTTTTGTTTTTTCACCCAAGTCTTAAGTCTCATAAATTCTACAGTTTATGACTCTTCCAGCATTAGCTGGTCAGTCATATCTCTCCCAGTAAAGCAATATCATCGTCATACTTGAGAGCCTCTAAAGATGAATTTTTAAATTTCACACCTCCTATGTTGACCTCAGTAAGCTTTGTCATCAGATAGTCTATTGGAACATTATTTAATGTACGTGAGAACGCATTCCTGGCAAATCAATGATTCTGTTGAAAACCTGTCTAATACAACCATTGACCCTTACACAGCTAGATGTAGCACAGTACAGTTACTCTGCTAAGCACCCCATGCTGATATAGCAGTGTTCGCAGTGCTGCAATAACGTTCCACAGATAATATATATATAGCGTAGATCGGGGTGGCCAACCTGTGGCTCCACAGCCACATGCGGCTCTTCAGAAGTTAATATGCGGCTCCTTGTATAGGCACTGACTCCGGGGCTGGAGCTACAGGCGCCAACTTTCCAATGTGCCGGGGGGTGCTTAACCCCTGGCTCTGCCACAGGTCCTGCCCCCACTCCACCCATTCCCTCCCTCTCCCCTGAGCCTGCCATGCCCTTGCTCTTACTCCCTCCCCCCCCCAGAGCCTCCAGCACACCACAAAACAGCTGATCAGGAGGTGTGGGGAGGGAGGGGGAGGTGCTGATCGGCGGGGCTGCCGGTGGGTGGGAGGCGCTGGGAGCGGGGGCGGGGGCTGCTGACATATTACTGTGGCTCATTGGCAATGTACATTGGTAAATTCTGGCCTCTTCTTAAGCTCAGGTTGGCTACCCCGGGCATAGATTGTAGATTGACCTGTATGGAAGTCAGAACGGTTGTCTCTCATTTTTGGTTTGAGACAATATTTCAGTTGGTTCAGTAGTATGATCATAAACACAGGGCCGGTGCAAGGAAGTTTCGCGCCCTAGGCGAAACTTCCACCTTGCCCCCCCCCAGCCCTGCGGCAGCTCCCTGCCCCCCCGTGCCCTGAGGCGCCCCCCCCCATGGTAGCTCCCCCCGCTGCCCTGAGGCGCCCCCCCCACGGCAGCTCCCCCCCCC